TCATAAAATCAATCCTCCAATATGGCAGTGAATGCTGAACAATCTCCTCCCAGATGAAGAAAAAACTTGAATGAAACAGAAATATAATTCTATAGAAAGATGCTGAGAAAAGCATAAATTGAACATGTGAGCAATGAAATGTTTTAAAGAAAATGAAAACAAAAAGGACTTTTACACTTAACATCAGAAAGAGATAGGGAAAACTTCTAGGGTACAGCATGATGAAAGAGTGTTTGGAAACAGTTGATACTCACAGGACAGATTGAAGGCAAGAGGGACAGAGGAAAGAGGGCTTGGAAAACCTGATACTCACAGGACAGATTGAAGGCAAAAGAGAGAGAAAGGAAAATAGAACATGGAGTCAACATGTGAGCAATGACAAAGTTTTAGAGAAAATGGAAACAAAAAAGACACTTATACTTAGCGTCAGAAAGTGAGAGTTGAAATTTCTATGATACATCATGAGGAAAGAGAACTTGGAAAATTTGATACCCACAGCACATATTGAAGGCAAGAGGGACAGAGCATGTGTAACAAGCATGTGTAATGGTTGGCAGAACAAGGATTAGGAGAGACAAAATTTATTGAGAACTACAAAGGACAGGAAATTGTGGAGAGCCATGATTGCTAAGGTCCTGAAAGGATAAGTCATATAGAAGAAGAATGAGCTTGAATAAATGTATGGAAAAGCAGGGATTTAGTAGAGATAAAAAAAAGACAAAATTTACTAAGAGCTACAAGGGATAGGAAATTGTGGAGAGCCTTGATTGCCAACATCCTGAAGAGATAAGTCATATAGACGAAAGAGAATGAGTTTGTGTAAATGGATAGAAGAACAAGGTTTAGTAAAGATAATAAAATGACAAAATTTACTAAGACCTACAAAGAATAGGAAATTGTGGAGAGCCATGATTGCCAATGTCTTGAAAGGACATGTCACATAGAAGAAGAGTACTCTTTATTAGTTTGGGGATTTTAACAGCAAATGTTTTTATTATCACATAATTTTTTTTGTGCTGCTTTTTCTTAAAGCTTTTAGCAAAAAACTTTTTGCCCTCATTTAATTAAAATGCATGATTTAAGAACAGAGAATAAAAATTTCATTGTCCTCACTGCACTCCATTAATCATCTGAGAGACCATACTCTGCCTTCCATTAGTATGGCTTTCTCGGGCTAATCTTCTCAGCTGACATGAAGTGGAAAGACTATACTGAATCCATTGCTAGGCCAAATTTGAAGAAAGTTGGTTTACTGTGTCATGCTAGACAATTTTTCTCTCCTATCTATGTCTACCCTTCGCCCTTGCTTAAAATATTGCTGTCACATACTGTCTGGTGCTCTTGCTAGTTATCTAGAGCTCCTTGATAAAATCCAAAGAATTAGCAATATTATTAGTCCTGATCTGGCAGCTCAGCTTCAGTCACTTTCCCATTGCTTTAAGGTTGCCTCCCTGCATCTTTTCTATAAATACTTTCACAGTAGTTCTTCAAATGTTCTCTTCACTATGGTACCTAGACTTTTTGAATTTCGCCCTTGCATGGAGTATTGCTGCCATATATGGTCTGGTGCACCATCTGTTTACCTCGGAGTTCTTGACAAAATACAGAGGCGGATATGTAATATAATTTGTCTTGATCTGGCATCTCGTCTACAGTTGCTCCCTCACAGATGCGTCATCGCCTCTCTCTGTTTTACAAATGTTTTCATGGTAATTGCTCGGATGAGCTGCTTTCACTGGTTCCAAGACTTCATGAATTCAAGCGCCCTACGAGGCTGGCATCCCGCTCTCACCCTTTCACTGTAGAAACTGTTAAATATAGCCGTCTCTTCTACTCCAATAGCTTCATATCTCACACCTCTCGCCTGTGGAACACCCTTCCCTGAGAGCTATAATCTCCAACTATTCAAATGTAATGTCAATCGACATCTTCAGTTACCTTGATCTATCCACTATCCTTCTCCTCATCCTTTCTTCTATCACTCCTATCTGCTCTCGCTCCAAATCTTCTGCAACCCCCCTGCATCCTAGTGGCTTCCCGCCTTGCTCGGGGCGTAATGCTTAAAAAAAAAAAAAAGTACTAGACTGGCATTGAGACGTCATCAATTTACATTTGAGTTGGCCAGATGTAACCATAAGTTCTATGCTAACAGTTTCTTTTCTCACAATTGTTGCTTGTGGAACTCCCTTCCAGCTCCTTGCTTTTCAGTTAACTTTAATATTCAAAAATTTAGATCCAATGTCAATCACTATCTACTGTCCTCCTGATTACTCTTTTTGTTTCCACTCATTAGTAATGTTTCTGTTTCTAACTCTTTCCAGTAATCCCTTGCATCTTAGTGGCTTTATTGCCTTGCATAGGGTGAAAATGATTTAAAAAAATGAATAAAGTTGACCAGATGATCACCTCAAATAGTTGATGACTTTGATCTCTACCAAGTGCTTGTTAAGTATACATTCTTTAAGTTAAAATGGATAAGATCATTTCCGGAATTAAAAGATTTGTCACAGTTCCTTTAGTGAATTTGATCCTCACGAGGTGCTCTTTGTTCTTGTGCCACATATAAGCTACGCTTAGAAAATCATTGGGCACTTCATCATTGTGTAATGGTCAGGAAGCTTGTCTCACTAGATCAATTAGGACTAAATAGTGAGTTTGATCTTCACTGGGTTCTCCATACTTTTGGCCTTGTGCCACATCTAAGTTACACTTAGAAAATTATCATAAAATATTTGTATTACTCTCCTCACTTTTTTGCATTTATCAATCAACAAATAATCAGATAAACATTAATAATTAACATGGCAATAGCCCTTGTTCGGGTCCCAGCTATGGGTAAATAGTGAACAAACTGCAGTCAAAACATAAAAATATTAAAATGCATTAGAAAAAATACCAGCAATACATTTTCATAGTAAAAAAAAAAAAAATTTAAATTATCAGCAATATATTATTGGAAAAAAAAATTACCAAAGCTCACAAGAGAATAAAATTTTGGCATTAAAAGAGTTGATATGCTGTTAAACAAACAAACTAAACCAAAGTGAACCATTAATAATTTGCTAAAGATCTTTCAATGACCTAACAGTATTAGTTGGTCCTGGAATATGGTTAAAGAGACAAAAATAAGTGTTTTAAAACAATTCTTGGATGAAGTTTAATGGACTATAGGCATATATATTTGATGTACTATATAGGCAATATCACTTATGATTTATCTCAGTTACATAAGTAGAATTTTTTTTTAATTAATTCACCACAAGCAAGGCACTAATGCCACTAAGATGCAAGGTGTTACTGAGAGTGGAAGAGAATGAAAAAGACTTTAAAAGGAACTAGGATCTTCTGAAAAATCACAATTTTATTTTTTAATCATTTCACTCCAAGCGAGACATTATTGCCACTAAGATGTAAATGGTCATTGAGAGTGAAAGAGAATGAGAAGACATTAGTGAGGAGACAGGACAATAAAAGAACAGGTTTCAGGAAGACAGAAGATAGCGATAATGTCACTAAGACTCATGGGGTCATTCGGAATGAAAGTGAATGAGAAGACTTTAGCGAGGAGAAAGGACAATAAAAGAAAAGGTTTCAGGAAGAAAGCAGATGATGATCAATGTTGAATTTAAAATTTGGAAGGTGGCAGAATGCAAGAAACTGGAAGAGAGTTCTACAGGTAAGAAGTGTGAGAAATAAACCTATTAGAAGTGAACATAGTGTTGCATCTAGCTAGTTCTATAGTTAAATGATGAGACCTAGTTGCCAATCTAGTACTGCACTTAAATTCATGCAGTCAAGACACCAAGGAAGAAGGCTCATCAGAGCAATTGCCATGAAAATATTTGTAGAAAAGACAGTGGTGAGAAAATGGCTGAAGTCATAATGCAAGCTCATGATTGATTACATTAAAGACCTTTTGAATTTTGTAAAAAATCCAGAGATATATAGTCAAGCACTAACAGAATAACCCAGATTTTGATGAGTTTTTACCTGTCACTTTTAGTGACATGGCAACAGTCATCTGTTTGTGAAGAACTCTGCAAACAAAAAATAAAATAATTTGCTGGTGTCTTTGCGGTTTTGCTCTCTTGAGTAGCATTCAGACATAAAACAATGTCCTGGGTATGAAGATAAACTACATCCGGCAACAAAGCCTCTGATTGAAATTTTTTGAGGAGCATGTGACCAACTATTAATTGCTGTTGTCCCCAGATCCAACTTGAGTAATAACACTTGTTAGGGTCCCAGCTATGGAAAATAATGAACCCCAAACTGGGGTCAAAACACTATGAAAGTATAAAAATACATTTTTATAGTAAACATTTTCAGCAATAGTTTTTAATATTAAGAAAAATAAAAAAATTCCAGCAATAGATTTTAATAGTAAGAAACAAAAAAATTTCTAGCAATAGATTTTAATAATAAAAAAATTCTAGCAATAGATTTTAATAAGAAACAAAAACTTCTAGCAATAGATTTTAATAAGAAGAAACAAAAAAATTCTAGCAATAGATCTTAATAAAGAAGAAACAAAAAAAATTCTAGCAATAAATTTTAATAAGAAACAAAATATTCTAGCAATATATTTTAATAAGGAGAAACAAAAAAATTCTAGCAATAGATTTTAATAGTAAAAAAAAATTCTAGCAATAGATTTTAATAGTAAAAAAACGTTCTAGCAATTTTAATAGTAAAAAAAAAATAAAAGCTCCCAAGAAAATTAAATTTCAGCATTAAATGACCCATCAGGAGTTCTTATGCCATTACACAAACCATACAAAATCAAGGTGACCTAAAACAAACATAAAAAAGATCAACTTTCTCAATAAAATATATTTTACTCAAATAAATCAAGCAAAGTTCAAGTGATTTATTTGGTTGACCAACTCACAAGTTTCTTCATCGAAATGCTCATCAAGGCCAGATGTTTGTGCTCAACAAGATAAGTCACTTTAACCTTCCTTGATTTATTGAATATTATAGCTCTGGATATCAATTGAATGCTTTTTGGCAAAAGTTCTGCTAGCCTATAAAATATGTTAAATTTTCATAATTTCCAGATATTTCGCCAGTTGCATTATCAATATTATCAAAAATATATTTTATTTATGGTGTGAATTGTAAGTTTTTCACTTTCCCATCAAGAGAAATTAGAGAAATATGAAAGAATCAAATATCAAAAGAAAACTTCTTTTTTGTGCTTTCCTCTATTTCCTTATATCCCCTCCCTTTAACTTCTTCCTTTCTCTCACATCTATCCCTCCTTTCTTCCCTCAGTATCTCCTCCATTATCTCTCTATTTTTTCCTCTTCTACCTCTCTTTTTCTTTCCTTTTATTCTCCTCTATCTCTCTGACCTACCTCTCTTTCTTTATCCCTTCACTTTTTATCTCTCTTCTGTGCCCCATCTCTCTTTTACTTCTCCTTCTGTATCCCTCCATTCTTCTCTCACTCCCACTTCTCTTTTTTATGCTCCCACTCACTTCTCTTTCAACCCTACTTCTCCTCCTCTATTCCTCCATTCTTCTCTCACTCATCACTCCAATTTTATCCCTCCATTTTTTTCCTTTCTCTCTGTCCACCTCTTTTTCTCTATTGCTTCTTTCTTCTTTCTCCCATCTCTCCTTTTTCTTTCCCTCCCTTTTTCTCTCTTTTCATTCTTCTCCCCTGCCCTCAGAATTCCTCTTTCTCCCACCTCTGTATCCCTTCATTCCCATCTTTCCCCCTTTATCCTTGCAATCTTCTTTCTCTCCCACCTCGCCTTCTCTTCTATCCCACCATGCATCTTTCACTCTCAAAATCCTCCTTCTCTAACTTCTCCTATCACTCCATTATCTTCTCTCTCTTCCTCTTTCCCACTATTTTCTCCCTCCTCCCTATACTCCTCTGTCTCCATTCTTCTTTTCTCTCTCTTCCACTTCTTCTTTACTATCACTCCATTCTTTTCTCTTTTTTCCTTCCTCTTCCCCTCCAGTTTTTTCACTCTCAATCTATCCTTCTCTATGCCTCAATTCTCCTCTATCATGCCATTTTTTTCTCTCTTTTCCTGTATCGCTCCAGTTTCTCTCTCACTCTCCTCCTATTCAATCCCTCAATGTTTCTCTCCCCAGCTATACTTCCATATTCCTCCATTCTTCCCTCTCTCAATTCTTCTTCTTCTTTATCCCTACATTCTCTGCTCTTTCTTCCTCTATCCCTCCTGTCTTTTCTCTCCCGAATTATCCTTCATTATACCTTCATTCTTACATTCTTCTCTCTCTACCACTCCAGTCATTTCTCTTTACCTCCAGTTTCTCTCTCCCTCCTCCTTCTATTCACTCCCTCCATTCTTCTCTCTCTCAATTCTTTTTCTTCATCTCTCCATTCTTCTCTCTATTCCACTTCTCCTTCTCTATCACTCCATTAATTTCTCTTTCCCTCTATCTTTCCCTCTCCTCAACTCCTATTCAATCCCTCTAATCTCTCTCTCAATTCTTCATCTCTTCTATATTTTTCTCTCTCTTCCACTTCTCCTTCTCTATCACTCCATTCTTTTCTTTATCCCTCTATCTCTCTAGTTTCTCTCTTTCACTCTCCTTCCTATTCAATCCCTCTATTATTCACTCTCTCAGTTCTTCTTCTTTATCATTATATTTTTCTCTCTCTTCCACTTCTCTTTCTCTATCACTCCATTCTTTTCTATTTTTCTCTGTGCTCCACCTCTTGTTCCATTCTTTTCTTCCATTGAGTCTTTTCCAGTTTTCTTTATCTGTGATTTCATTCTTGCCACAAAGCCAGTGGTCACCTCTGGTAAGAAACCTAATTCCTCATAACATAGTTACTTATTCCTGCTAAACTTTGTCTACAATCAAAATGGCAGGGTTATTTTTGCATTCAGAAGCAAATATTCAAATTTAAAAAAAAAAAAACAATATCCTTCGTTATAGCATAAGATATTTTTTGTGCTATGAAACATTCAGTGTAAACCTTTTTTACTTCTTATAGAAAAGGTTGTAATCAAATTTCACTGGATCTTTTCTTTACAACAAAACTAAAAGATTATCTTTGGCATTATCCAAAAACAATATTTCTTTGTTTTTTTTTCCGTTCAAATTTTTTTTCCTTCATTTTTTCAAATAACCTTGAATTATTTGGATCCTGCAAGAACTGGGCACATGTTATTGTCCTCTAAAATGTGAGGCAGTGCACAAACTCACATGTAATCAATAATGATAAATTCAAATGCTTTTATTCAATAAGGGACGAACCTTTACTGATGAGTTCTTATTGCAAATCTACTGACAATAACAGATAATGTTATTCCTTCCATGTCAAACAATATCAATCTAACTTTTGAATCTCATATGTGTTTGTGATATTTAGCATATTCCAGTTGAAATTGCTAGTTGTAACCATGTGAGGCTGGGCTGAAAAGTTCATAGGCTGACTTTGAAGGATTGATTCTGGAGTGGGGAAATCTTTCATGTGTTCATTTCAACTCTTCTTATTAATAACTGCATTCTTTCTTTCCAGGTAAACTGACACCTGACTGTTCACAGAAGAATGTTCCTCCTACTGGTCAGAAAAATCATCAGCAGTAGTTCTGACATCACTGTCACTGTGATAATGGTTCCTAGCCAAATCTTTTTTCATGTTGGGGAACAGATAATAGTTGAATTAGGAGAATAGAAAGCCACAGCAGCCATTGAAACCTGATGATATAAAACTCCTTTCATCAGTTTTCCCTGCATATTTGGTCTTGATATCCTTTTATAACTGCATCAGCAAATTAGCATAGTACTCTCCATTGTTGGTGTGGCCCTTTTGAAGATAGTCAATACAATACTTTTTGCATCCCAAAAAACTGTGGCCATCACCTTCCCTTCAGATGAAACAATCTTGGCTTTGGTTTTGTGTTGATATCCTTTTATAATGTATATATATATGTTCTATATGTATTTGGTCTTGATATCCTTTTAATACTGCATCAACAAATTGGCATAGTACTCTCCATTGTTGGTGTGGCCCTTTTGAAGATAGTCAATACAATACCTTTTGCATCCCAAGAAACTGTGACCATCACCTTCCCTTCAGATGAAACAATCTTTGCCTTGATTTGGTGCACAGTAAAAAGTGGTATTTCCATTGCATGGATTGCCGCTTTGTCTCTAGCTCTAAGAGAGGAACCCCACACTCATTCTAGTTTAGTAAATGTTCAAGGAAACCAGCTGGATCTGTCACAAACAATGTCAGATTTTCCAATTATGTGATGGGCTGGTATGCTTTTGATCATGTGTCAACAAACATGGAACCCACCAAGTAGAAAACTCTGTCATAGCAATTTTATTGTACAGAATATTTTCAATTCTCTCACAGGATATGTTAATAGAATTGGTTATTTGATTTTATAGCCAATCATTTGTCATTGCACCATGCAGGACATCCAGACCTTGTGTCATCTTCAAAACTCTCCTTTCCCCTAAATTTCAGCTGCCCACATTTGCACTGTTGATAAAGCTGGGGCACCATATGTAGCAACCATTTCCACATGGATGTCCTTGGGAACTCAACACTATTTCTGTAGGTACTTAAGAGCACTATGATGCTAAATTTTGTCCCTTTTCAAGAGAAGTCACTACTAGTTACTTTTGAAGTCTTCTTTGAACAGTAAAATGTCAGTTTACCTGGAAAGAAACAATGCAGTTAATAAGAAGAGTTACTGCATGCAAGATTTTACAGTTCTCGCATCACTCCTTCATAGTCAGCCTATGAAGCTTTCAGCCCTACCTTCTTAAATTCTGCGCTAACAGTTTTTTTTTCTCGCACTTCTTACTTGTGGCTTCTTGCTTTCCAGTCAGCTTTGATCTTCAAATATTTAAATGAAATTTCTTTTCAGTATCATCTTTAAATGCAATGTCAATCAACATCTTCTGTATCCTTAATCCTGTTCTTTTATTGTCCTCTTTCTTTATTAATGTTTTTTTTTTTTCTCAGGTTTGTTCACTTTCTATAACCCTTTGCATCTTAGTGTTTTTTTGCTTTGATTGGGGTGAAATGATTAACAAATTTGATATTACTCAAATCCTTCACACTTTTCAATACTGTGCACTTAACTGTAAACAATAATAGACAATTAGTAGCAGCAACATCTAGTATTAAAATAGTCCTAATATTGATAATTGGAAATTTTAAATTATATTTAAATTTGAATTTCAAATACAAGTGCCAGGATGATTAGTCCTTCTGGAGAAAAATCCATCCGAGATATCTTTATTCCAACAACCCCTTTTATTCAACATTCAAATGAAACATTAAAATTAAAGGATGAAAGAAAATTTCCGGAATATTTCATAAAAAAGGGTGGTTGGGATATGGACTTTTGTCCAAAAAAGAATACACATTCCTGGCTTGTCTATTTGAAGCCAAAAAGTGAAAAGAACTAGTTTTCTAAGTTTTTGCAAGAAGAAAACTCATGTGTAAAGAATTATCTTTTTGTTTATTTATAATTATGTTTTACTTTCTATAGTCCTGGGTATGATGATAAACTACATATGGCAGCAAGGCCTCTGCTCAAAAGATATCAAGTTTAGAGGAGCCTGGAACCACCTCTGAATTGTTGTTGTCCATAGGTACATCCTGATCTGGGGTGATAGCACCTGTTAGGGTCCCAGCTAAAGGCAAATAGTGAACCTCCAAATAAAAACAAAACACTATGAAATTCTAAAAATACCAGCAATACATATTTATATAAAAAATTACCAATAATACATATTTATAGGAAAATGACCAAAAATACCTATTTATAACAAAATTACCAACAATAACTAATTACAGTAAAATTGCCAACAATACTTATTTATAGTTGTTATGGTCCAGGTTAGGACAAAGGAAGAACAACAGGAACACAAGAGTAGAAATAACGAAGGTATATTACACGAAATAGTAATGCAAGATGTGGAAGGTGTTAGTATGACTGTCAGTCTGGTTTGGAGTGAACTACTATTGGCTTGACTCGATTTGTCCCTCTCTCTTGAGAGGCATAGTATACATAGTGTTAGGAAGAGTTCATTCTGGAGTTATAGGTAAGGACCCATGACAATAGTAAAATTACCAACAATACCTATTTAAAGTAAAATTACCAACAATATATATTTATAGTAAAATTGCCAATAATACCTATTTATAATAAAATTACCAACAATACCTATTTATAGTAAAATTACCAACAATACCTATTTATAGCAAAATGACCAACAATTCATTTTATCTGTAGTTGAAGGCATACAATTGCATTCAAGATATATTTAGTTGAAGCCATAAAATTGTGTTCAAAATATTTAGATTGTAGAATTAAATAACCCATAGAGGTGTTGATATGCTGCTAAAAAATCATTCAATCAACATTTATTTTCTATTTTCTTATTAAAATATCTTGCCAATAAATATTCAAGTAGTTAAGATATTCAGCCAAAACATTTGAGTGATAGAGAGGGTTAATTCAAAATGAATGTACAAGGCCCAAGAGTCACTGGAGATAAAAAAAAAAAAAAAAAAAACTATATAATTGATCTTGTATGATCATCATATGAATTAACACTTAGGTAAAAAAAAAAGGGTTTGTTGGAAGATTTTATAATTTAAAGAAAAATTTCACCCCAAGCAAGATAATAGCACCACTAAGATGCAGAGTGGTTACATGGAGTGAAAGAAAAGGAGAAGACTTTAGTGAAAAGTAAAGAAAAGGAAAAATAAAAGGAACAGGACAGAAGAAGGCAATTTGATGTCATATTTAAATTTTTGAAGGTCATAGTTGTTAGGGAAGCAAGAAATCAGAAAGGCGCTCCACAAGAGAGAAGTGTGAGAAAAGAAAATATTATAATAGAACATATGATTGCAACTCCCAAAGAAAATATTCAACCAGAGAAGATGAATAAACATAGCGGAATAGACTAAGGAATCTTTGATCGTGGGGCCAGGGATATTACTTGGCACGCTGTGACCGAAAGGTTTCAAACTACCTGAAAAGTAACTCTTATTTTCGATCTTGCATCATTCACAAATCGGAGCTGCGATGACACTAAATTACTGATCATTCATCTTTCTTGGCCTTCATCAGAACAGAATTGGTAGGATGAGATACCATGAATATGATAGAGTCGTTGTGATACAGCTATAGCACTGTGACCTATTAAGGCAGAGCCCAGGGACACTAAAATCAAGCAGGTGTGGAAATTTAAATATTTGGGAATTGTTTTCATAGAGGACGATAAGTGCAATGCTAAGATCTGAAGATGTATTGTGATGGTCAAAGACGCATTCTAAAAGCTAGGCAGAGTATTAAGAGGCAGGAGGATTTCTTTGGTAACAAACATATAGCTAATTCAACAGTCAATACTGTGGGACCTAGTTGCCAATCTAGTAGCATGCTTAAATTCATGCAGTTAAGGCACTAAAGGAAAAAAGCTCATCAAAACAGTTACCATGAAAATATTTGTAGAAAAAACTTTAGAGATGAAAAATGTGGAAAATGATAAGGAAACAGGAATGAGGAAGACAGAAGACTGCCACTGCCATTGCATTTAAACTGTTAGAACAAAAGAGGTATTTGCATCTAGCTAGTTCAACAATAAAATGGTGGGACCTAGTAGCCAACCTAGTAGTATGCTTAAATTCATATAGTCAAAGCACTAAGGAAAAAAAGAAAATGATAAAAAAGAAACAGGATTCAAGAAGACAAAAGAACGCAACTGCCATTACATTTAAATTTTTGAAGATTGTACGTGATAGGGAAAAATGTAATCAAAAGTGGATTTCCGAAGGTGAGAAAATAAACTGTTAGAACAGAAGAGATGGTTTCATCTAGCTAGTTCAACAGTAAAACAGTGGGACCTAGCTACCAATCTAGTAGCAAGCTTAAATTCATGCAGTCAAGGCACTAAGGAAAAAAGCTAATCAAAACAGTTACCATGAAAAAGAGGGGAAGTGTGGAAAATGATAATAAAAAACAGGATTCAAGAAGACAGAAGAATGCCACTGCCATTGTATTTAAACTTTTAGAACAAAAGAGATGTTTCCATCTAGCTAGTTCAACAGTAAAATGGTGGGACCTAGTTGCCAATCTAGTAGCATGCTTAAATTCATGCAGTTAAGGCACTACAGAAGAAAGCTCATTGTGTGCCATGAAATTATTTTGTAGAAAAGACAGAGGGAAGCCACATCATGTCAATGAGGAAATGACTAAAGTCAAGATGCCAGTTTAGGATCAATTCTTTGGTTCAAGAATGCTTGTAGATGGTTGGAAGAACTTTCCTGATTTTTTTTTTTTTTTACAATGCAGTTTACCATTTACAAGTCCACTCAACATAGAAGGTTACATTAAGAGGCAGTTTATAAAGATAGGAGAGGAAGATAACGGTTAACGCTAGACTTGAACAGGTTAAGATTGTAGCGATTGGTGAAGCAACCTTTTGGGAGTTGGTTTCACAGAGCAGTTATTCCTAAGAAAAATCTGTTCCAGTGGAACTTACTTTTCATCAATGAAATACAGTGGGAATGTGGGTGGTTTGATACAATATAGTTCGTCTATGCACCTTCCGTAGGAATAGCAATAGATCAGTGAGAAGCTTGCTACATCTCAGCTGTGAGAGAGAGGTTGGAGACTGGAAAATAACTGACAAGATTACGAAAGTGAAATGCATCTGCAGAAAGGAATGCAAGAACCTGCATGGTTTTAAAATCCACCAGACCAGGATGAAATGTTTGGAGTGAGAGAGAGGCAGTCACAATGTACAGGTAACTTCCCTGATGAAATGGAGGAGGAGCATGGCCAAGATGCACACCACAGAGCCGAGACCCTCAATGTGCTGGTCTTTTGAAATCCAGTGAGAGAGTGACCAGAAAACAGATCAAATGACCCACTGCACACCAGAAGGAAGAATGGCAACAGTTTGACCAGGATGTGAGTGATATTTTAAGAACAATATTAAAAGGGGATGTATATATATATATATATATATATAATGACGACTATAGGTCATTAGTTACGTGTCAGGGTGATTCGGTTATGTTCAAATGAAACACACAAAAGAACAAAGAAATAATCGTCAGGAAAATAAAATTTACCAGTTGAGACACAAGCTAAAATCTCTAAAGAGACAATACAAACAAGTAAATGAGATGGTCATCCACAAGGACTCGGAGATGTTTTTGAAGTCTACTGAGACTGAAAAGTGAGAAGTGGGCAGCTCCCACCCAACTTCATTCTCCGCCTGATCTGGTTCTTGTAAAGATAGAGGAGAGCATGAGGAGTCAGGTTCTTACTAGAGTGGCACAGGGAGCCAACAACTTTTTCCGCATCTGTTCCAAAGGATCTCACCTAGCAATAGAATTCCTTGACCCTGACAACAAATTGCTTTTAGATTTTTCAAGTAAGGTTTTTATTTGGCAATTTTAATTAAGATTGACTGTTTTTTTTTCTTTTCTATGAAATACTTATCCCCTGGGACTTTGGCATTTTTTTTCTCTCTGAATTTGGTGTATTTTATTTTTTCCCTCTGTTTTGAGCTCAACTAAACTCATCAAAACAACACATAAGCAAACATATGACAACAGTACTTCATTCTCAGCCTGATCTGGCTCTTGTAAAGGTAGATGATAGCATGAGGAGTCAGGTACTTACTGACTTACTGTATCTTTAGTGATGGATCATATGCATGAATTCTACTTGAGGTTAGATGTAAGTTTAAAGCTCAAGAGTTTCTCAAGGCATGTTCATTGTGATTGGTGGTAGTTCAGAGTTGATGGGCATGGCGATATGTGATAAAAAGTGCAATTAGTATAAAGATAACATAGGTTGATTTTTCTCCAAAAAAGATCACCCAGGTTCTGTGAATCTAAAACTGGATAATACAAATACTAGTAAATTTCTTTAATCTTTTGAACCCTGACCTCCTGAATTTCCTTATTCAAATATATAAATGCATTTGTTATACAAAGTTAGTTACAGTGATGTTATGAGTTCAATCCCAAAGTAGGGTAGCGTAAAAATGTCATTTTCTTTAATTCGGTTTAAAGACAAGGGACATACTTTGGGAGAATGAGAAATTTAGACTAACTAAATGCCTTAGTTCCACCAGTTCTAACCTTCATGGCTAAGACCCACCATGCCACGCCCATTGTAGTGAACCACCCTCATTCTCTTTGTATTCCATTGAGCAGCTTTGTGGAACCAACTTTTAAGAGAATGCTTCCCTGATCATTACAATCTTAACCTGTTCAAGTCTAGGGTTAATCATTATCTTCCCCACATATCCCCATAAACTGTGCCTATTACTCTGTAATCCTCTACCTTGAATGGCTATCAGGCCTTTTACTGGGTTAGGATGATTATAAAAAAAAAAATTACCAGTGAGATATTTTCTAGAATAGATGACAGAAGGAGAAAAATTTTCATCCATGAAATGAATGAATAGACCAGTATAAATTTTTTCTCATAAAGTTACAAACTACAATAAACACCTAAAGAAGGATGGAGAATAAATCAGCCAAAATGTTGTGATAATGACAAAGAAAATGGTTATTTTAATCTGAAAAATAATATTTCCAGCAAAAAAATGAGTCAAACAAAAAACGTATTTAGTAAATGAATATTTGTAAATATCTATAGTGATTATATATATATATATATATATATATATATATATGTATATATATATATATATATATATATATATATATATATATATATATATATTAATTAGATAACTAGCCTTGTTTCAAAAAACCCTCAAATTTTTGATTTGCTAATAATCAAATCAATCTCGACGATCCGTTTAGGTGAAACTTAGGTAGGCTTGTCTGGCTCACTAGGTGTATCTATCTATCTCTCTCTCTCTCTCTATATATATATATATATATATATATATAATATACTATACTATTTACATTATTCAGACTATTGTCCTCATCTTTGTTGCCATATTTATTACAATGTTTCAGCTGTTGTATGCTCCGGCCTTCTTCA